CCCCAAAACCCCAAAACCCCAAAACCCCAAAACCCCGCGTTGAGGAATCAGAAGTTAAATTGATGTTTATATCGAATAAAAGATTGAATTATAAATAAAAATGAGACATTCCTATTCTTCAAACTATCTTACATCTGGAGGCTAGAATTCAAATAAAAAAGTCTCTATCAATGTAAGAGACGTAGGAACCCCAGTGAAAGAGAATAACTTCAAATCAACCTATTCCCAGGACTTTAATAATCCCAGTTCAAAACGGTAAGCAAGCACCTCCTAGACCCAAAGACAGATGGTTTCAATGAAAGCTAAACAAAAATCAGTTCAAAGATTCACATCACCTCGTGAGACAGATATATACAATCAGATTCTCAATTCACCTTCTTAGATTCCTCCAGCAAAGTTGATTCAATAGCGCAAAACTTAGCATTATTATGATCAGCATAAGCACCAGCAGAATAAATTTCAAAGCAATTACTAAGCAAATAACAGAGTAACAACAAGCAGTGTAATTTAAAACAGCGGCAACAAGCACTAAGATCCTTATGATCTTAAATAGTAGTAAGTTATATTATACTTTTGTAGAACTTTTCTTTTAGTCAAACTTAAATTAGCCCAGCGAAGAAAAGTTCATTGAAGAATGGAAATGATAGATACGAGTAAGCGAGCAAAGTTATAGAAAAAGCTGATAAACAACACCATTAGTCTGATATAGCTGTGCCTTGTAAGAAAGATTTATCCTTAAATTGCAACATTTGTTCTAATTTAATAACTTTATAGACGAAACAGCCAAGATAAGAAATCAAATGATGAATAGCTTATCAAACTTCAACACAAATAGTTAGTCATTTACACAGCTGCAAGATCAAATCAACAACACTAGCTCGAATAAATATCTGACGTAATTCAGCATAACTCAGACAAGTGATGGTTAACCTCGCAAAGGCTAACACAGAATTATTGATAGATTTGTTAAATATCCCTATCCAAACAATATCGGTACAAACTACCGCAAAGACTTCAATAAGCAGAATGGGGCTGATAGCAATGCAGTTATGGATAAAGAACATAGAAAGCAAGCATTTAATCTTGAAAAAGAACATAAAATTATTAATCCACATTAAATGGACTTGAAAACAACTGCAAGAGTAGATTTCTAGCCTTTTGCTGTGGTACCTTAAAAAATATCAGGATAAAAAGGACCCTAGCAAAATGTACCTTTCCTTGAAGGGTCTATATACAAGTCATAGTATTAAAATTGGGGCAAGAGTGAATAGTTGATTGAGAAAACACCATAATACCCAGTTTATCAACTTCCTTTTAAAGGAAAATCACAATATTAGGAAAAATTTACTCAGCAGTCTCATAGATAAAGATCTGATTCTGCATATGATAGCAGTAGACCTGAATCAGCTAACCCTCAGTTTATGGCTAGATCATCATCTCACTTGAAGTTAGGAGCATTCTAGCCTTAAAAGTTTGACTTTGAGACTACCAAGTAAAAAGATTATCAGCCATTTAAGATAACTTAAAGGCCTTAAACAAGCAAACCTGATGTAGAGCCAGTTAAAACTCATGCAGATCCAAAGCATTTTGAAACTCTCAATAAAAGGGAATACAAAGCATATGAAAATTATAAGCCCCCTGAAGTTGACTACATGCCTTACCCTTGAAAATTATATAGAAATGAATATTAAAAGATATATTATAATTCAAAAATTCTATCACAAAATTTGATTCTTGGTCAATGGGGTTTTGGGGTTTTGGGGTTTTGGGG